AGATGTTGCTCCAACACTTTTTGTCGCGTTTTGAGGATGTTGGGACCCAAATATGCAGTAACCCATGATGGCACGAGGCAGGGATGATGAAAAGCAAAATCCTTTATTCTTGAAGGAGGAACAAAAGTAAATCCATGTAGCGAGCCTAAAGTCCAAAACTCCAAGGCTGGAGAAACAAAGCTCGCAAGAGCACGAGCAAACACTGACAGAATACACATACATACAATGGACCGACACAAGACAGGGCTTAAATAGACTGGGAGACCCATTAAGGAAACAGGAAGCAGGTGTGTGGAGTGAGGGCTGGAGGGAAGGCAGGTGACAATAATTATCTCAATGGGGAAAACTGAAACAGAGGAGGGCAAATACCTAAACACAAAACTAAACAACAATTACCTAAAGACAGAGGGAATGGCTCACACAAACTAGCTGGAGGAGGACATAGCACATACACACACACTGGGACGTAATTTTGGGGGGGGGACGGGTGGGACATGTCCCCCCCACTTTTTCAAAAGGCAGTTTTGGTCCCCTGCACTTTTTTCCATCCAAAAACAATGTTACGCTCCATTAAATGGATTTGGTTGAGCACTAGGACCGAAACGGAAACCGGTTTACTATTAGACCCGCCCAAAAGCTAATCTATTGGCTCTGCTGATACTTGCTAACGTATTATTGGCTGTTGCTGCTGTCACTCAAGTTGTAAACAGTCAGAACGTGCTCACGTTGTTTTGCTAGTTTGGAGCCGCTAGGGAACACCGGTACTGAGTCACATCGTCAACTAGACGCTGTGTAATATCAGAGCTCAGCTCAGCTTCCATTACATAACATTTGAACAACTGTTCATTTGTGAGTCTTTGGTAGTTAGGCACAGCCAGGAGGCAGCATGTCAAGAAAACGAAAAGTGGATATAAGAGACTTCTTTCAAAGTCAAAACGTAAGTTGGACATGTGACACCCCTGCATTAAGCTCAGACTCACCTCCTCCTTCACAAACATACTCAAAACTAACTTTTACAAACTCATCTCCTCCACATAACTGACTCCTCAGACACAATTTATTCGTATTATTATAATTATTGTTTTATTATTATTACTATTATCATCATAATTATTATTACTAGTAGTAGTAGAAGTGTAACTTCAAAACTTTTATCATTTAACTTTATTGTAAACTTATCTATTGCAATGTATATGTTCACATTAAAAAGCTCTGAAAAATGAACAGTATCATCGTCAACAGATTTTTTTAAGCTTAATGTCAAAGATGTACACTTTTCATTAGATTTATCTTATTTTTTCCATTTATTTTTTGTGTGTTGAAATGCAACAACTGTTTAAACACTTTTAAGGGAAAAAACATATTTAATATGTTTTTATACACTCAAATGTTAGGGTGATGATCATGTGTAAAACATTAGTTCAGCATGTCCTCTAACACAGCAAATGAACAAACGGCCAGATCTCAGGAGGGACCGTTTATGTATAAATAATTTTTATACTTTTGACTAGGCCTGGGAAAGTAACAAATTTTGCTGGACGATATTTTGTCCAACAAATTGTTGATGATAAACGATATTGTCAACATTATCTAGACCAAAATAACCACTAATCTAATGTTAATATATCATAATAATGCAAGTACACCCTTTAAAATGCAACAAATAAACCTTCATTTAACATTGAAATGTCCAGAACCAGAACTTCTAAATGAATAAAAATAACAAACAAAAATTGAATAAAAAAGGAATCTCACTCCCTGTTAGAAAATGTTGCACCAAAAACAATAAAAAAGACCCAAAACAATAAATACAATGGCCTATCCATTGTCAACAGCCAAAACTGCACTTCAATAATGATAATAAATAAAAATAATAATAGAGTTGTACATTTTTTAACTTTGATATATATATATATATATATATATATATATATATATATATATATATATATATATATATATATATATATATATATATATATATGAGGATGGAAAAATTATTGAGATGGGCACGTGACGTGTCAAGGGGTATTTACATAACACCCCCCACCCCAAATCCGCACAAGCCTGCTGTGTCCCCCCCACTTCTGAAATCAAAATTTCGTCCCTGCACACACACATAACCACACACACTGAGCTGGGGACAGAGAGGCTGGAGCTGACCTGGGAGGAAGGATTAGAAAAGGTAACAACATAAGACACTAAACTGAGATGCAGACAAAGGACACATGGGGCGCCAAAGGGCTACAACATAAGACACATAACAGAGATGCAGACAAAGGACACAAGAGGGCGCTAAGAGAACACAAAAGGGAATCCAGGCAGGGATGGAGAAACATTAGGAGACACATAAAGGAGGGGGCAGATGCAGACCATGACACTTTTAGGCTTTTACCCTTGATGTTTCTGGATGAATCCTTACGTTCTTGAAACAGTCTCAATTCTTCAGCAGTATTTTCAAATACATTTTAAGCATCCACAGCAGCACAAGCCCTTTCTACTGAGACAATGCGTTTTATGGAACTTTATTTAAACTAAGGTCCTTATGTTGAGAAATGAATAGAACTGTGGTCATTTTTGTAAAAACTTAAATAAATTCGTGAGATTTCTTGCAAAAAAGCAAGATATTAAGCTAATTGTTTTTACTTGGCATTTCCGATGGGGATCACTGGCAGCTAACAAATTTGAACTCAACATTGGCCTAATAGACTAAGTGGAAGTTATTGTTGTGTTGGCTAATGTTGGTGGAAGTCTTGATTTGGGGCAAATTTAACAGCTAATCAATGGTAGATGTATATTTAGAGATGATTTAAGGCAACGCTAAATATGTTTCCTTGCTTCTCCCTCCTACTGGCTGAAACTGTCGTAAACAAACCTGCTTTAGTTAGCGCTAACAGCAAGCTAATGCTAACACGAGCCAACTGCTACTACATAAGCCACAAAATTACAGGTCCACACTGTTGGAAATCAAGGTGTTATTACTTACAAGTCCAGTAGCAATGAAGCCAGATCACTGTCAGTTTGGGATTCTGTAGCCTCCTTCAGCTCCCTCAAACGAGTGTAGGCCACGCCGATGTTCACTCTGGTTTTAGCTCTTTGCTTCATCTCCACAAAGACATTACTCTCTTACTGTTACTTCAGGACTGTGCCAACAAGAAAAGCAAAATACTCCTTGTGCTTTTTATTGATGGTCGTCGAACTGAAAAATCTAACTGCTAGCTTTTCCATTAGCTACCGTAATTGCTGTAAAGCAGGTAGAGCCTAGCCTGGCAAGCCAGACTATATATGTGAATATAACTATAATATAAAACTCCAAAGCAAGAATTTGGTCTAGTTCACTAGGCTAGGTAGAGCCCACTCTAGTGCACCTACCCACGCCACTGTTAAGTGTAGTTTCTGACCAGCAGAGGGCCAGAAACTGAAACTAGTTGGAGAGCAATAGCTAAAGTGTTAAAAACCCCTTTAGTGTCGCTTTAACAAAAATCCACTGAAATCCATTCAGTGGTTCAGGAGATATTGTTAACCACCTTTTTTACTTTTAGCAACAAGCAATAATAAGTAAATGTATGCATTTCTACTTCCATGCATACAAAACTAACTGTTTATTTTCTCTAAAGTCATCAAAAGACAAAGTCCTCACTTTTATGGACATCGTGTCAATACGGACACTTCTACGTGTATGATTGCTTTTGTAGATTTAATGTTCTGCTCAGCTGAGCACCAGCATTTGCAGAAATCAATACCGTGTCCTTTCACTGTCACCAGATTACACTACAAGGCCGTATGAGAATCAGCTCCAGCTTTAGCAGACACAAGCTAAGCTACATGTAACATAATGAGGGTTTTGTCCTTCAGACAAGTGAAATCAGATGTAGATCAACGTGCTGATTTAATCACCGGAGTCTTTATTTTCTCTCTTGTTTCACCACTGAACTTGATTCTGAAGAGCCTTGCATCACGTCCGGTTTGAGGAAAATTGATCTGTTTCACGGGTTTATGTGGGAAAATCCCTAAATAGAAGCGAATTAAAGGCTGAAACGCTTGAAGGCCTCCTTTGGTTAAACACACAGCATGCTTTTATCCCAGTCAGACATCAAGTACGACTGACTTGATGATAACGGCCACCGCTAATGTGTGTGTGAGCCTTAATGTCAATGGTGTGAGCATGTTAATGTGCAGTTGGTTCCTTTGGGGATCTCTAAGCTCTGGTCTCTGACAGATCTGTAAATCTGTCTGCCCGGTCGGAATGCAACACTCTAATACCCGGCACGACACAGAGAGGCTGCGGCATATCCAGCCTGTCACTCACTCTTTAGCTAACGTTATGCCACGAGTCAGGGAGTGTGCGCGTTGTGTTATTACAAGGATAAAAGCATGGCAGGGCACATGGGGGAGTCCTCCAGGGGACCAAATATGGTCTATGGGTTAATGAAGTGATTTTCCAGGGTGAAGACCTGCTTTTTTGTCAGGATTTGAGCTGAATTATGGTTAAGTGTTTGAAGTGGGGCAGGATTAGACACTTGTGATGGTTTAAGATCCTCTGTGTGTGTCTATGTTATTAGTTTAGTTTATTTCAAACAAAGAAAACATACATAATTTTTTTTAAATACCACAAACAGAAAAAATACATATCATCCCTTCTTCTGTGTTTGAAAAGGAGTAGGCTGAAGTGGAAACTTATATATCCTTACCCCTTTATACAAGTAATGTGACAATTGTTTGCCAGAAAAGTCTACTGGGGTACAATTTTCGGGCTTAAATGAAAATACAAGAAATCACAAATATACAGTAGGATGCACACATTAGGAACAAGAAGCATGGTTTTGTAATTTTGGTGCCTTGACTCCTGAGGAGATCAAACAGAAAAATGCAAGAAAAAAAAAACTCTTCCATCACTCATGTTGATAGCAGCTCGTTTGCCTGTAATTCTTTCAAAGCAGCCGCTTTTGCATAATAATGTGCCTTCTCTTGCGTTTTTTCCCTGGTGTGCATTATCATAGCTGAAGAAGTGGCGGGCCCAGCAGGAGGAGGTGGCAAAGCTGGAGGCGGCCATAGCTGCAAGACGACAGGAGGAAGAAGAGGAGAGGATGAAGAGGGAGCAGGAGCAGGAGGCTGCTGTCAGGTCACAGCAGAAAGAAAAAGTAAGCTGTCTGTCTGCACTAACACTAAAATGACAGTGCTCAAGAAAAATGTTTTCTGCAAGTTTTATGAGTGATTCTGGGATGAAGCTTGTTGATTAATATACACAATTAACTTTTAAATTGTGATTAATCCAATTTTAGATTATATATGATGTTTTTTTAGATAATTTGGGAAAAAGTAAACACAATCAATTTAAATTGTGCAACTAAAACGCACACAGCTACCTAAAAATGGAGAAAACTTAAGTGAATGAAAAACAAGTCGATACACTAAAAAAAACTGATTTGCAGAAAGGAAGCTCTGGGTGTCGTCAGACTGAAAGCGAGAGCTTTTACCGTCACTCGGGGGATTTTGATTATCCGTTTTATACGATCGAACACACAGGTGCGATAATGCCATGAAGTGTGTGAGTTTCAAACTGTTTAATTAACTCTCTCCTCGAGGGTCTGCTTAGGGAGAACAGGCAACCCGAGATGTTCTCTGATTAATGAGAACATTTAAGCCTCATTGGATTCCAGAGAATTCAACACAGTCAGAATTATCTCGTTCTCTTTGTTTACACAAATCAGATTCTTGCTGCTTTAGTCAATACGACGTGATGATCACTAAGAGTTTTGAGACACTCAACTTTTCTGGATGCTTCTTTTTTTATTTGTCGGGATTCAGGTGAAGCAGTTTCATTTGAAGCAGCAGAAGAGGACGGAGGTTCTGGAGCGCAGAGATCAGGAGAGACTCGCTGCTCTGAGGAGCATCATGGAGGAGCAGGCGAGGAGAGACAGGCAGAGGTGGGAGACAGGTTACTGAACTTTGACATTTATCACTACCATCTGTGACGATGTGTTTAATGGGGACACGTTAGGACTTTTTTCTTAAAGAGTAAGTCACCCCCCTACCAGAGTCTTATTTCACCTGTACTTCCTGTTTGGAAAATTCACCATGAGGAGGCGGACCAAGAGGGTGGCGCTGCGGCAGTAAAACTCACTGCACCTACCCACCCGCATATCTGGAAGGGGCTCAGAGTAGAGCCGCTGCTCCTCCTGCTGCAGCTATTTTCGTGCAAATAACGCCTAGTTTGTGCACACACACACACACACACACACACACACACACACACACACACACACACACACACACACACACACACTGTTGGTGTGTCAGTGTTTAACCAGGTCAGTAGCCTAGTGGTATGAGTGTCCACTCTGAGACGGGTAGATTGTTGGTTCAAATCCACGCTCGGGTCATACCAAAGACTTTAAAAATGGGAACCAGTGCCTCCCCACTTGACACTCAGCCATAAGGGGTTGGATTGGGGGGGTTAAACCACCAAATGGTACCCGAGCGCGGCTGTGTCTGCAGCTCACCGCACCCCCTAGGGATGGATCATATGCAGAGAACAAATTTCACACACCAGTGTGTGTGACAACTAATGGGTCTTTAACTTTAATAGGACAGCAGAGGGTGCAGCACTCTTCTGGGGTACCTGCCACCAATGCAGACATGTCTCTAGTGTGTTTATATTGTTTTTATGTATTTCAGAGGCTTTTTAACACGGACAAATTCTGTCCTCCATCTCTTCAGTCACCACCTCTAAACTCACGCTTTCTTTAATTTCCTGCCATGAATAAAAAGTCTTTGGTGTACCTTTGTACTCCTTCAGTCATGGTTGTATAAACGTTTATGTTGTCTGACTTTTTCCGTGAGACGTTCTTCAATCTGCTCCGTGTCTGCCGCTAGGTATGTTCAGTTCTTGTTGAATTTTTTTTTTGAGGGGCAATGGCAGTGCTGTTGAAGAAGTTGAAGGAAGTGGCGTCCTGACCAATCACAGGCTTGCGGTCTCTGCCACTTTTGACAAATATTTAGAGAAGTGGGCTCCACTCCGTGTATCCTTGTGAGCCAGTTGGAGAACCCTTGCAGCAACGAGTAATTGTGTTGCGTGTCTCCGCATCAATACAGACAAAGAAGTATAAACTAGCCGTAAGAGGAGTTTCTACTCTAATTTCCCCGTTTGTGACATCACAAATGGGGAAATTAGAATTGGCTGAGTGGGACTTATCGGAGTGAATCTGCATTCTCTGGATCTGCAGCTGATGGAATTCACATGAGGGGAGGCGGGGTTTATTTGAAACCGAGCATGTTATTACCAGCTTGAAGGAACGGCTCAAGAAAAGAACCAACATTTCATTAAAATGACATCTCAATATTGCCATATTTTATCATATGTTGTGTCTGTCTTTGCTCCGTAAAGTGTAAAATGGCATGATACAGGCCTTTTGAAACTCGCTCATGCAGCACCAGTGATGTATTGGTTTAAGCCGATTCATAATTTGGACCTGGCCATGCTCTAACTTTTGCTGCTTTTAGATGGATCTGGTGTTAAGTTCCTTCTTTTTCTTTTAAAAGCTATTTTTAGGACTTTTTAACTCCAATACATTTCCTTTTATGTCATTTTGAAGACAACATCATATGAATAGACTTGGTTTAGAAAATCCGGCCTAATGAAGACTCACTCTTGACAAAAACACAATTCTGACCATTTGAGATGATCTTTGTTGTTTTTCTTAGCTCAGAAACTCTTTTTACCTGCTTTTAATGTGTTGACTGTGTCTATTAGACTGAATCTGGCAGGTCTGAGACTAGAAATTATTAGAAGGACGAGAAAGAGATAAAAAAAAGGGATGAGTGGGGTAAAGCTGGCTGCAGTCTGGCAGCTCCATTAAGCCTCTGCACAGCCTGAAGGTTTGCTGCGTGAGCAGTGATGTGTAACCTGCCTGTGGCCCTGGCAAAAGAAACAGAGTTGTTGCACAGGTGTGATGTCCACAGCCTCTGTCTGCTCCCGTTAGGGTCCAGTTTCGGGCCGATGTCTTGCAGCAGCGAAGGAAGGAGAGAGAGGAGCTGGAGCTGGAGCGGCAAAGAGAAGAGCAAGACAAACAGAATCGTCTGGAAGCTCTCAGAAAGCAGGTGAATCGTTATCTGATCTTAACACCTTCAGCCACTCACAGAGGGAAGAACTGGAGCCCATCTTTAACTGAGCGTTCACCAGCGCCACCTTATGGGCCACCCTTTTTTCTTCTTTTTCTGTCACCTAGGTTGAGGTGGTGGCAGAGGCCGACCCAGAGAGGATGATGGGAGATACGGAGGCTTGGAAGAGTCGACACCTGAATGAGAACGAGCTGCAGAAGCCTCTTTACAGCCTTAGCACATACACAGACACACAGGTGAGGCTTTCCAGCACTCTTCTGACCTTCACATGTTGCTTTTAGCATTGAGAAGAGCGACTTTGTGATGCAGATTCCTGAATTTGTGTTTATTTTATTTCATTTGCATTCAGTCGGTTGAGTTTTGTTTCATTTTGGGTGACAGTGAACCCTAACTGAGGGAAAATACACAAAGTGGCTGGCTTATCAAACACTACTTCAGCCCAGATCTCAAGGCCACTAAATCAATCAATACACTTTATTTTTTGTGTGAATGTACTCTTTCAAACCAAACTGTAAACAGGCAAAAGACAAACTTCTAATGGGACAGAAAAGCCATAAATATGTGATTTATTAACTGTGAAGTGTTCTTTTTCCAGATTTTGTCTGATCCGAGAGTACGACTGGAGCAGGCTCTACGGGAGGCGGGTCTGCAGCAAAGCCAGTACTCAAAGGCAGTTCTGTCTGAAGTGAAGCCCCCCAAACCGCCTCGACGGGACACAGAATCCACACTGAAATTTTAACCAGACTCATTTATTCCTGCATGACTTTGCTCTGGAATTAAATGTAAAATGATAGTTTGCAAAATCTGATGCCGTTTGCTGCAGCAGATGCTGCGTTTTCAAAGTACTTTGTTTAAATAAAAGAAAGCTTCAGATTAGTAGTAATTGTTGTTTTTTGTAGATGATGAGAATAGTTCACTTCATAATGCACATTATCAGTGTAAATATAACAAAAATGTAATCTGTATTTGACATGCAGATTTTCAACTGTAAAATATTTTAACATGAAATATTACAAATATTCATCAAAATATTTTGAGGACTGAAACCTGTTATTTCCATCAGTTTTTTGAGTTTAAAGGGACTTTAGAATTTTTATGCTCGCAATTGCCCCCTCAGGCCAAATGTGTAACGGCAGCTTCATTAGTAGGCTCGTGCACGAGGCGCGCATGCTGTACGTGCACACTCCTTAACGTAAATAACAGCTGAGACAGTCCCTTGTGTGTGTGTGTGTGTGTGTGTGTGTGTGTGTGTGTGTGTGTGTGTGTGTGTGTGTGTGTGTGTGTGTGTGTGTGTGTGTGTGTGTGTGTGTGTGGCCTGGAGGACAGAGGACAGGAGAACGTGCAGCTAACTAATTAAATAATTTGGTTCTGTACCTTTCTCTTCAGCACAGCTGACAAAGGTTTATGATGGGTCAGGTCTGCATGCTCGGATCTTTCCTTCCCTTGCTTGAAAAATTGTTCCAAAATGAAAGTTGAACCCACATCTTTTTTATCTGTGAATTCAATGCCATTTGGCGAGTCTCAAATAAAAATTTTGGCATCTTATTGTAAAAAAATATACCATTAATGTAAAAAAGAAAATTACGTTCACACTCAGAATCGAATCCAGGACTTCTGCGCGGGAGTCTGATGCCTTGCTAGGTGAGCTAAAGCGTATAATATGTAAGAACTTTACAGTGAAATAATAACAAACAGTCCAATGTCTCAATCATGTTGGAAGGAAGGTTACATTGAAACAGATTTATTTCTCAGCTGGCTGGGGGTTGTCAGTTTTTCTCCTTTCAAAATGACCAAGAGGGAAGTTGTATTTGTTCACAATCTATCAGTCCGCAGGGTTACCGAACCTGCATCGGCAAGCCCTACTGTGGCAAAAAGCTCCAGAGTTGTTTAAAAAAGCGAAACCAGTAAATGGAAGCCTATGAAGCCGTGGCATCCTCTAATATAGTAGGAGGCTAGAGGCTAACGTTGAGCTAACAATGCTAATCATGAATTAGAAGCAGATAAATAGATTAGAAGCTTGCAGCTGTTATCTTCTGGGACTCTGCCAGCTGCTGATTGTGACCCCCTGGGGCAATCCTCTGCACCTCTCGAGAGGGGGCTGGGGCTTCTCTGGTGACAGTCTCCCTGCACTCTGGGGTAGCTTCTGGATCTCTGGGGCTTGGAGCTCCCTTAATCTTCTGCACAACTTTGGGGGCAGATGTGTGGCTCCTCACACTCACTCATTGGACGCTCCTATAGAGAAATCTCACATATACAAGCTCGTGTACACATTCAGGTGCTCATAATGGACTTGGGCATTTTCAACACATGTCTTAAGGCTGTGGTTGGCACTAAATGCACTGTGATTCAGCAAAACAATGTTGATTTTATATTTCCTCATTAGGTTGACGCAGTGATGGCTTGCTCTTGTTGTATTGTTGTTTTTGTTTGATTTTCTCTTTCTGCTGGTCTAGAAGCAGATTCTTGTTCATCATTGTTTATATCTGTTTGACAGTTGTGGCGCTTTACTTCCTTTAATGAGTCATTCAGAACTAAAGCAGCAAGCTAACAACAAGATGGCAAAAAGAAACACTTCCTCTAATGCTACCATAAAACACCCAAGAGTACTAACATCAGATATAAAAATGTTTTTATATACGTACTGCGTAGATTTGTCTTCATTTGTCATCTAGAATCTTCTGGCACTAAGCTGTACCTGATAACAGCCACAAAACTCACTGAACAGGAGCAATAAAGTCACTTTTTGTTTAGAAAAATGGACTGCAGTAACACTAAATGACCACAGGATGTCCTTTTTGCTTTATTCTTACATATATTGGCATCTTTAACATTTCAGTTTTCAGTCATTGAAACATTAAATCAGTTTCAGAAACATCAAAATTTAACCAGTCTATGTGGAAATAAGCGTAAACAAAAAAAATTGATTAAACTTCATAATAATTCACATAAATAACAAAGTGCTTCATAATAAAAGATAAAATACATATTTTAAATATATATTTAGAAGTAAGAAATGCTAGTCTTTTGGTTTTATCCCCTAAATCCTTAAGAAAAGATTCAACTCTTCAAAATAAGAGTCCAGTTCAGATAACAACATGTTGAGAAGAGCATATTATATACATATCAATCAAATCAATATACAATGTTTATTTTCAAGAGCGTTCAGGCTGTAATTCCCAAACGTTTCTTGATGAAGTGAGACACCAGGACTTGAGGTCTCTGCTGGTACTCCACCAGGACTTCATGAGGGGAGGTGATCTGGTCTCCATCAAAGCGGTTCAGCAGAGTAACGCAGACCACAGCCGCTGGATGGGGAAAAAACAGTATCTCACAACAGGTGACGGTTATTTTGTGAAGTTGGACATTGAACAGAAAAGGCAGTTTTATCAGTTATATTGACCAAGAGAAGACAATTTACCTCTGAGGCCACAGACTCGGCACATGGCGGCAAAGACTGTTGACTCCATTTCAATATTCCTCACTCCGGCCTCGTGGGCCTTCTTCAGATAATCCAGCTTCTCCTCCTGAGAGAAGGAGCAAAGAGCTCCATCGAGCCTGCCTTGACCTGCAGAGACAAGACAGCATGTGTGTTATGGCTGGTGCCATTTATGTTTTTATTTCATTTCTTACTCCTCTGTTTTTATCCCGCTTGTGTGTGTGAGGAGCTGTTTTGCAGCACCTGGCTTCTCCCACACCTGTGCGGCTCCACCCTGAAGTCCCAGCTGGTGGCAATAACAATCAGCAGCTGAATGAGGACTCACTGCATAAAAGCCACCCAGCCCTCATCATCAGGGAGCAACAGGCTGGGCATGTGGTCTCTGGCCTGTTGGCACCTCGGCGTGCCTTTGTTTTAATCTCTTTTAGCCAATTTGTGTCTTTTATGTGCAGGGGTTCCCTGATTTGAACATTAATGTTCTTGTGTGTGCAGGGGGTTCCCTGAGTTGTAGTTAAATTGGCTAAGTAGAGTTTATTTTGTTTTACTATTTAGTTGCCGCCGATTAGTCCAGTTGTGTTTAGTAATTTTCCTTGGTGTGAATAAATTTGTTTAAGTTAACTTTTAAACACCCAAACTTGTGTCCTCCCTGTTACCCCAGGCCCTCTAGACAGCTTGGATCGTAACAAATAGGGGCCCGTCCGGGATTTCTTTTGATCCCTAATTCTTCCTGGACATGTGCTCTTCCTCTGGGTGTTTGATATTTTTGGAGTTTTTCTTATTTTATTGATTTTTTTTTTTCAGAAAAGTTCAGACGCTCCATCCCATGCGCTCATTGGTGTGTGTTGTGGGTGTGGAATGTGGGAGGTGACACATCATCTCTGGATTTGAAGATGGCTCAAATGGACCGAATTTTCTGTAGGGGGAGAAGACCGAGCGTCGCTCTCACGGTGCTGTGGATCTGGAAGCCTAGATGTGTCACCCTTGGTAGCCCCGCCTCCTGTCATCCCTGCTGGTGTGGCTACATCTGCGGTGGATACTGGCTTAGCCACGCTAAAAAGGAAGAGGTCAGAGCTTTTGAAAAACTCTTCCTCACTGTGAACTGTCTCTTTGACACCTAGACTGGTTGCATCTGTGACTGTGAGCAGCCTGTCTGGAAGACTGGAGCATTGGTGAAGATCACTGTCGCTGTTGGATATCATCGTTGTGATGAGACTGAACTTTGGGTGAGCAGTGGATTTGTTTGTGTAAAGGATGTGAGACTTCTGGAACCTGTATTGTCTACATCGAATCCAGAGTTGATTGTCGCCTCCCAGCTCCTGCTTTGCACCTATGCCATTGGCCTGCAGTTAATCATATAGTATTGATTTTGGGGCTGTTTTGTGATTTAGGGTGGGGGATTTGTGTTAAAGTTAATAACTTTATTCTTAAGGGGGGGGGGGGGGAGTGTTATGGCTGGTGCTGTTTGTTTTCTGTCAGAATTGGCCACCTGTCTGCTATAACCTTACCAGGCAGAGAGATAATATGGCATAACTGTTCTGCAGTGAAATTAAATTGTTTCAACATTTTATCATTTCCTTTGATATTTTTTCTCATAGTGAATTAACATTTTGGGGTTTTTCATAGCAAACTGTGATTACAGCATCCATTTTCCTTCAATTAAGACGTTTCTTTCAAAATAAAATGTGGATTATTATGAGTTTGGCACCTTCATAGAAATCGTGGGTACACATGGTGTTTCCAATGACAGTTGGCAGGTTTTGAAGCTCGTGGGAGCACTGCAGGAGCTCGCTGACCACGCCCTCATCCAGCTCCGTGCTCCTGGTAATGACTTTACCCAGAACAACTTGTTCAAACTGGGGGCGGAAGGAGTAGTCCACTGCCTTATCAGTGATCACTACTGTCCCCGGAGCCAGACCTGGAGGCAACACCAGGGACATTTCATATTTACCACCCATTGATCACAACACGAGTGAAGCTTTCTGTCAGTTTTGAATATAAAAACACTAATTTACCAACACCGCCAGAGGTTCCCAGGCGAAACAGAACCACATCATGACACTGAGCGTGATGCAGCAATTTGATGAGCTCATGCAGCATGATGGAGATGGAGGGGACTCCCATGCCGTGCTGTCACAAACAATAAATGGAAATTAATCCTGGAATCTGCTGATTCATAATAAATGTGTGTATTATAATGTTTTAAGTGCTTACACTTATAGAGAGTACTGGTCCCACTTTGTACATGCAGTAGCGATCAGTTCCCTCACAGATATCCCTGATGTCCTCTGGGTTTCCAGGCAAGTTTAGCTCCTTGTGCATGAACTGGGCGAAAGACTTCATTCGGTTTCCGCTTCCTCCAACACAAACAAACTGTGAAAGATACAAAACAGAGCAGGTGACATCTGTGTAATCAAACTAGCTCTGATTTTGTTCTTAAATCCCGCTTTTCACAAACCTTTGTGTCTCCAAACATCTCTGGAAGGTTGTGAGTCTTTGTGCTCAAGTTGAAGTGGTACAAGATGTCCTCCTCCATAGTGTCCAAATAGGGATTCTTCACTTGGACTTGTTGTCTAGAAGTATTTTCTTTTGTATTATTCCACGATCAGAAGTAAAACCATAGTAAAACGCTGGATATACTCACTTGATGTATTCGTTGTGATCGTGCCCCATGCAGCTCAGAATCAGAATCGGGGCCATGACTTCGGTTTTCTTCAAAGGTTGCTGAAGATCGTTCAAGAACTTGTTGCAAAGCTTTCTTTCTAACAGGAGTGACTTTCAGCTGCACAGCTGATATAGTGGTCCCCTCTGACCTCGTCACTGATTGGCTCTATAAAGAGGAGTAGCGGCAATCGCTGTTCTGGTAAAAGCACCCACTAGTCAAACATAAACTCGCTTATAAAACAAAACACGAGTAACGTGCAAAAAAAAAAAAAAAATAATTCCCCACTGACGGCACCGAGGAGAACATAAAAACAGCGGGATGATTCAGAGTGCAGCGTTTTAACGACAGCCCATCTGATCCCAGCGAACTCCTGACATGCTGTGACATAATTTCAGAGAACACGGAGATAACCTTTGACCCTGACATGAAACAACTTGACATATCAAAACAGATGCACAGAGTTACCAAGCTGACTAATAGGGCTACCTAGCTAAAAGTCAAGATTAAGATGAGATTTTAAATGAAAAAAAAAGAGAAATTTTGAATATTTTCAACTTTATTTTAATCACGTGTCAAATATTTTTTAACAGAAACAGCACAAAACTTAAGAGATGTATATAATCAGGTTCCAATAACAAGAAAAATAAATAAAAAACTAATTTTTTTAATTCAACATTTGAAAACCAATTTAAATGCTTGTTGTGGCTCAGCGTGACACAGATTGTAAGAAGAAAAGATGGCGTCTACTCTTCTAGCTTTAGAAGCGCCTCTGGCAGTCCTCCAGCCTGTTGGCATGAAAAATAACTAATCATTCACTAATATTACTACATAATACTGTCAGGATACTTCATAAAATCCTAATGGTTCAGCCCTTAAAGGTTTAATCCACTTTATTATTTGTGTCTCTGTATTTTCAGAAGGGCTATTCATAAAACCATCTCATAAAATCCTTCATTTGCTTTTATTGTGTTACAAATGCATTCTGACTGCATTATAAAGTGTTTTTACGATGATAAACAAGACTAAGTCGGTTGTTGTGCTGCTTACTTGACACCTCACTGTACTGGTTTGTTTTCTTCTGCATAACCGAAGCGGAGCAGCTTGGACATGTCCACCGGTGCTGGTTTCTTGTCAAAAACTCTGAAAAAAGCAGAGAATTTATTAGATTTGAACACTTTTTTCATGAAATGATCAAATTAGCAACATGTTATAATGTTTTCAATCATCTCAGTGTCTGTTAGGGTAGCCAGAGGGACTGCAGATGATGCAGTTTAAACATTTAACGTGATTTATTGTTGACTGACCCAACTTTGTATCCCTGGACAAACTCTGGCTACTTATTACAAAAGTATTCTCTCAAAGTACACATGACTAAGTCTGGAAAGCAAGCTAAAGCATTTCATCGTCTCGTCTCGTCTCGTCTTCCTCCGCTTATCCGGGTCCGGGTCGCGGGGGCAGCATCCCAACTAGGGAGCTCCAGGCCGTCCTCTCCCCGGCCTTGTCCACCAGCTCCTCCGGCAGGACCCCAAGGCGTTCCCGGACCAGATTGGAGATGTAACCTCTCCAACGTGTCCTGGGTCGACCCGGGGGCCTCCTGCCGGCAGGACATGCCCGAAACACCTCCCCGGGGAGGCGTCCAGGAGGCATCCTGACCAGATGCCCAAACCACCTCAACTGGCTCCTTTCGATCCGGAGGAGCAGCGGTTCTACTCCGAGTCCCTCCCGAATGTCCGAGCTCCTCACCCTATCTCTAAGGCTGAGCCCGGCCACCCTACGGAGGAAACTCATTTCGGCCGCTTGTATCCGCGATCTCGTTCTTTCGGTCATTACCCAAAGCTCATGACCATAGGTGAGGATTGGGACGTAGATCGACCGGTAAATCGAGAGCCTGGCTTTCTGGCTCAGCTCCCTCTTCCCCACGACAGATCGGCTCAGCGTACGCATCACTGCAGACGCCGAACCAATCCGCCTGTCGATCTCCCAATCCCTCCTACCCTCACTCGTGAACAAGACCCCGAGATACTTAAACTCCTCCACTTGAGGTAGGACCTCTCCCCCGACCCGGAGGTGGCAAGCCACCCTTTTCCGGTCGAGAACCATGGTCTCAGATTTGGAGGTGCTGATCCTCATCCCAGCCGCTTCACATTCGGCCGCGAACCTACCCAGCAAGAGCTGAAGGTCAGAGCTGGATGAAGCTAGGAGGACCACATCATCCGCAAAAAGCAGAGACGAGATTCTCCTGCCACCAAACTCGACACACTCCACACCACGGCTGCGTCTAGAAATTCTGTCCATAAAAGTGATGAACAGAACCGGTGACAAAGGGCAGCCCTGGCGGAGTCCAACCCTCACTGGGAACAGGTCCGACTTACTACCGGCTATGCGGACCAAACTCACGCTCCTCTGGTAAAGGGACTGAATGGCCCTTAACAGAAAGCCACCCACCCCATACTCCTGGAGCGTCCCCCACAGGGTGCCCCTGGGGACACAGTCATAAGCCTTCTCCAAATCCACAAAGCACATGTGGATTGGTTGGGCAAACTCCCATGCCCCCTCCATCACCCTTGCAAGGGTATAGAGCTGGTCCACAGTTCCACGGCCAGGACGAAAACCACATTGCTCCTCCTCTATCTGAGATTCAACTATCGATCGGACCCTCCTCTCCAGTACCTTGGAGTAGACCTTTCCAGGGAGGCTGAGGAGTGTGATCCCCCTATAGTTGGAACACACCCTCAGGTCACCCTTCTTAAAGATGGGGACCACCACCCCGGTCTGCCACTCCCTAGGAACTGCCCCCGATGACCACGCAATGTTGTAGAGACGTGTCAACCATGAAAGCCCTACAACATCCATAGCCTTGAGTAAAGCATTTCATGCTCTCTTTTATTATCTTCCTACAAAGGCATAAAAAATAATGAAAAGTTAAACAATAAACAGCAATATTGTGAATTTTTCCTCTCTGGGTTGGCGCGGGTTACACGTGGGTCGACTGTTTTGCCTCTGGAGCAGTGACAGTTGTGCTTTTTGGGATTTTTTGACAAGTCAATGACATTTTCCCAACGGCACAGAGAACACACACCTCTGATCAGCTGAGAGCCAAAGCAAACAGCTACACGTCCAGTAATGTCTGGCAGCCATTGCACTTTGTGCTGTTTTATGTGACCTGAGAGTTCACAGCAGCCATAAGCGTTTCTGCTTTGTCATCACAACAGAGTGACATAGGGACTAGAGCATACACACAACCTACTCTTAAGGATAAACGGACAAAAATCTAATTACTGCATAGTTGAAAAGATGCATAAAAAAAGAAAGAAAGAAGACTTTTTGGACACTTTTCACAAGTTTTTCTAAAAATAAAAGAAATACGATGTTAAAAACACTTCATCTTGTGAACTAGTGGTATGAGTGAATGCCCTGGTTCATATCAACGGTCCAGTCACACCAAAGACTTTATAAATGAGACCCAATGTGTCCCGCTTGACACTCAGCTTTAACAGGTTGGAATCAGGGGGTTAAACCACCAAATAGTTCCCAAGCACAGCCACAGCTGCAGCTCATCGCTCCCCATGGAGATGGATCAAATGCAGAGATGTAATTTCACCAGTGTGTGATGATGATAAGGGACTTTAAGTGCTCTACTTTAAAAATCAGCTGGAAACTCATCTGTTCGAGCTGGCTTGTGCGTGACCTTCGGTTGATTCTTCATCAACTTCTCCTCATTCAACTTTCTACCAAGTCTGCCTTTCCCGGGATCTACTGATTTCCACTTTCTTAATCATTTTCTTTTTTCCCGTTCCTCACATTTTATCACAGTGTTTTACTTTCCCCAATTTTATGATATTTTGTAATTGTTTTTAATCCTTTTTAGCTTTATTTCTTACATTTTTGTTCTTGTCAAGCGCCTCATGATTTTTATCTTGAGAGGCGCCAAATAAAAAATTGTTTCTTCTTCTAAGCCGCAGACTTGACATGGAGTGAGTATGATAAACTTAGACTTTTCCTTTGTCAAGTGTGTGACAGTGATGATAATTTAATATTAGCCATTTATTTTCAAAATATTTGATTTTTCAGTCAATGAATCAAATTACAAGCCATGACCTTTAAATTTTCAAATTTACATTTATTTTTAGGACTAATGCAAATCTATTAGGTAATAATAGACATTTAATAGACCTGTAGGCACCCAAATATTCTTTTAAAACTTGCTTTAACCTCTTTTTAAACTGCCATGTGTGTCATTACCAGTTTAATACTTTTTAAAAGCAACATGTTGGTTTTAAAATATTTATTGTGGGAGGAATTTTCTTTCTTTTTTTTTGCCTATAACTCCAATAAACATTGCAGTTGAATTACCTGCTATACAGGAACTCAACAGGTGTGTCAAATGCTGATCACTATAACTGTAACAGAGGACAACATCGCCATCTCGTGGCCACATTCACTTACGTTCTTTTGTATTTGCTGGCCTCAAAGTGAATGGGTGACTGAAACTGCTCCACCTGCTGGTCACAAAGATCATCCACGTCCTCACCCTAGAGAAACAAACAAACAAAAACAAAAAATCGTTATATTAGATTATAGTTATTATATTAGATTTTTAACATTTTAGAGCAATGTTTTAGTACTTAAGTTTAAATCTCTGTGGAAATGTGCCATAACTTGAAGAAATACCACCACATCATCCAATAAAAACTCTTCTACTTTAACCTGGAAAGAAACTAAAGCAGCAGCAGGCTCATCACTAATCTCACTTAGATAATTTCCTTTTTTTTTTTTAACCTCCTTGTCTTTATTGCTGCAGCCATCCCCTCTCTCCCTGGCGGTCACATTTTCAGTCCAAAAGGGAGGCTTCAGTGGTTGTTGGGCTCCAGGGATTTTCTTATCCTTGCTGTAAAAGATAACTGAGGTATGAAATGTGACCAACACTTGATATTAGGCTGAGTGAATGAGTTTAAGGCTTATTCGTCCCACAATAGATGAGGTAACTTATTGTAAACTGTAACACCTTTGTTTGTTGGAATCTCCTGATTCATTGCTGAACCAGTCTGGTGTTTTGTAGGAAGTTAGTTTAGAAGTTATTGTTCCATCATGCCACAAAAGTCCTGTTAGAGACAAAAAGTTTGTAAACAAAACAAATAAGGCATGTCAGTTTAACGCTACTGGGTGGTTTTACCTTTGTGTCCTCCTTGTTTTGCAAGCTTCACATAATCAGAATCACTCTCCTGGACACCGACCCTTCTCCCTCTGGCCTTTTCTTCAGGGAGACTCCGGATTGTCGGGGACAGTCCTGGGATCTGAGAGATATGACCATCTGAACCTGGACATACACCTGGAGTGATTCAGTGTGATGTGGAAAAAGGTCAGATAGCTTTAAGCTAAGAAATCCAGAGAACAACATCCAGGTTCTGTCCCTGCCTGGAAGTCCACCAACAGAAAGTCATTTTAAAAACAGTACTTGCCAGCTTTTCCTGGTTCAAGATCGTCATTTAAAATGGGAAAGGAATTTCTGGTGAAAAAAGAACAAAATGGCCCAAAACAGCAGTTATTTCTAGCATCAACGGTAAAGGTATGTGTTTGGTTTGCTAACAGTAGCTTAATAATGGCAGTTTATCAACAAGTTTAGAATATAGCAGCACAAAAACGTTAAAAACATAGATTAAAGTTAACATTTATGGTAAAAAGTGTCAAACGTACCCTGCATCCATCGTGGAAGCTGAGAAGAACTTATTTCGCTTACTCCCGTTTGAAAGTTGTGACTTCGTCACCATGGAAACAGGTTTACCCAGACAACCCCGGGACACAGCTGCTGCTCGGGGATGTGAAGCTACTGTGAACGAGTCCCGAGAACAAAAACAAACACAACTTACAAAAAAGGTTTGGTCAGGAATGGATACGTAAACAAGTTTAGCATATATGCTTCACAGTTAGCTTTTTAAAGGAATTAATCACAAGTCTATCTGGTTTCGATTAATAAGACTGACGCTATGGAATGAAACGCAACAGGGAATAAAATAATTTTCAATTCTATGACCGTATAAATATAGCTGAATGCCATCAGGCTATATGGGCTTTTTGTCTATATTTAACATAACTAAAATTTCCCACTGAGGCACAATAAAATAAGGTTTTTGTTCTATTTTCTATTCTATTCTATTCTATTCTATTCTAAAATACAAAATCTTACCACAAAACGAGCAGCACAAAACAAATGAAACTCGGTTCTGCACTCAGCAGATGTCTAAAATGTTGCGGTATTTTAATCTCGCAGCTAAATACATATTGTTGCACAGAAACTGTTTAGAGATTTTCCAGACAAAACAAAAGATGCAGTTATGAGCTTTAGTTTAGTGGCTGAATGTTTCCAAATACGTGACAAAATGGGTTCAATTTTTGAAAGTAAAATAGTATATCTATTTTTATTTAAAATCCCTTTCATATCTAATTTTGAAGATGAAAAAGGCACAATAAATCCACTGATTTTTTTCCGCCCTTGCAGATTACTTTTACTCATGCTTTATTGTCACGCTTTAATGTTTTTGATCAGCCATCTGTTTACGGCAGCCTCACCTCCGTCTGTGTGCCCCAAGGCAGCTGTAGCTTCGATGTAGCTCATCACCATTAGTGTGTGAATGAAGGAATGTAGTGAAGTTGTAAAGTGCTTTGGAGTCCTCTGACTCAGAAAGCTACAAGTGCAGGTCACTCACTATTTATGAATCACTCTCAGCTACTATAACTGTTATCCATAACTATAAGAGGGAAGAACTCCAGTCAGGGGTGACTGTGGAAATGGAGTGCAAGGGGGAAGTGCACAAAGAGTGTTGCTGAGCAAGAAGGGAGGTGCAGGGAAGGAGCTCCAGGAGATGCTCTCTGAAGATCTAAGTCTTCAGAATTTCTTACAGATGGAAGGGGACTACCTTGTTCTGGTAGCAATCAGCAAGTCATTCCACCATCTTGGAACAACTCAGTGATAGAGTCTGGATGGTATTGAGTCTGGTGCAGGATGAGAATGTCTAGTTACATGCTTTGTTTTTTAAACTTTAGGGAAATTTTGCTGCTCTGGACAAAATGTATTATTAAAAAATAAATAAATACTGAATAAATTATTCTGATGATGATATATATATATATATATATATATATATATATATATATATATATATATATATATATATAAATTCTTGAAGAAATTCACCTGCAACCTGGCACAAGACAGTTTTTATGCAAATTTTAATACACCACACACTCAAAGTTTGAAAGCGCATCAATCTGCCCAAAAATGAGAAATTCTTTGAAGTTTTTTACTAATAATTTCACCAAGGTAAATCAGATCACTTGGAAATATAATAGCACACCTCACACAGCCGAGCCGCTCATTTTGATGTATAATTTGTGGGGGGTGCAGGTTTTTTTCCCCAAACAGTCATTAATAAATTAATCCTATGAAAGCTGATCATTGGTGAACATTTAGTTGGATTATGACAGTATTAAAACTAATATTTATAAATTTCAATATTTATCAACCAATATGAAACTTTTTGAACAATCGGTTAAAACATGACAGTCAAAATATGTGAAAGTTTACTGCAATTTGAATTTTTGCATTTTGCTTTATTCAAACATCTAAATTTCATGCTGTGGATTTAAAATCTACTGTGTTTTGTAGATAATAGATACTTTTTATCCCTGAGACATGACCCTGCTTGTCAGTACATCATTAGATGTACTTTTACTTGGCAAAATCAGAAATATCATATATTACACAGATCACATCCTTATTCCTTAGAGCCAGAGTCTAACTGGGCTTTGACTGTTGATGATGAACTACAAGCAGGTTTTGCAAAGAAGTTTTCAAGATGTCTCAAAACTTTAGAAACTTTTAAAAATTTATTTGAGTATTTTGAGTCAATATTTTTCAACAAAATAGGTAAAGTAGTTGCAGGGATCTTGCTGTCTTCTTACGACCGTCTGGCGGAGGAGGAGGATCAGGGTTGTTCATCATGTTCTTCATGTTCTGAAGCATCCTCCTTTGTCCAACCAGCTCTAGAAGCTGCAGAACCACCCCCTAAAACAGAATCAGATGCATGTCAGATTACACTCTCCACCAGAAAATATAGACTTGTTTCTTATTGTCAGAAGCAACGATGGAGAATTTGAGGCAGACAGGGACTGTAGAATGCTGCAGGACGTTGAAGACTTCCAGAAAAACATTGTTCAGGTAGTCAGCTGGTTCCTCCTCTGGTCCTGCAGCCCTACGGGTGTGAATCCCCCTCACGGTGGAACTAGCTCGGTGTAGCTGCAGGACCAGAGGCTGGTGCTGCTCCTGCAGCTTAGGGAAGTGCAGTCTCTCTGATGGAGGCATGGACATATTTTGGGGGGGGGGGGACATGTCCCCCCCACCCCCACTTTTTCCGAAAAGATTTTTTTTCCCATGCACTTTTTACTGTCTAAAAACAATATTAAGCTAACATGGGCAGCAGCAGACGAGATTATGTCAGGATCTGGGGTGAGTGCTGCACTATTCGGTTCACCTTGCTTCAGTCGCTGCAGGTAGGCAGTTCCTGAGGGCGGCCAGCTGCAGTCAATTCCAAATCAACCGGTCCAGGAGCTGGGAGATCACTTCGCTTTGCTGGATGATTACTCACTTTGGGTAGCTATTGCCATTATAGAGATAACTATAGCTTAAGTCCTTTGCCTTGTGCTCACTATCTGTCATCGTTGTTGTTGTTGTTTTGAATGTATCCCTGTCTTGTCCTCACCAGGAACCCTCGCCACTGACCGTTCCTGCAATAACCCAGATTTCACCTTCAAGCCTGATCTCCATCCACGTCTGGACCGACCCTCTTTCCCACCGCTCACCCCACTGGATTCTGGATTCCCCATCTCCGCAGCTCTCCCCAGTCCTGACTTCCCCCTCAGTATCTTGGATCTCCATCCTACCTCCCAGCCCCGAAGCTGTGCTTACCATCACCGCCACATCTGGCGGTGCACCTTTAGTTTCCCTTGCAAAATAAAACATTCTTATTTTTACTAGTGTCTTTCTGCATGTCTTGGGTCAGGAAACTCCCCACTACCATGACAGATTGGGCCGAGCAACGGTTTAGCAATCCCAACTCTTGAACTTCACTGTGAGGAGTCTGATATGAAACTGTGCAGAAAATCTGAGTCACATAAACCTTGTTTGTCAAAAGCAGGTGTCCCCAAATTTGACAGGTTTATGCTAAAATCCAAAGATTTGAACACAGATGAGGTGCTGGGGTTGTGTTAGTTAAGCTACACCAGTTTAAAGCACATTACAGAAATGCTGAGAGGATTGAACAGACATCTTGACTTGGTCTCAGATTTCTCAGAAAAAAAGTCTGAACTCCTAAGATCGGATTTTTTTCAGAGATTTAAAGAGCAGGTCAAGTGTGCCTCAGAGTCTTACTCCACCCACGTATCAATTTTAAAAACTGCAACATTAGTAGGCGTTGCCTGGCGGACCGAGAGGGCGGAGCCGCGGCAGTGACGAAGACGATGGGTAACGAGACGATGCTAGCTCCCTTCACTCCGAGCAGTCATTAGAAGTGGAGAACGTTTCTCTCCCTCCTTACCCAGACACTCGAGAAGAAAGGGACCAAGTCTATTTGGAGGAAACAAGCGGACCTGAGCCTTATTGTTTTGAGCTTGTGAGTTGCCTGAAACTACCGGAACCGACCCAACAGAACCAGCTCTGAATGGTAAGTAGCCGTTAGCCATAGTGTTAGATTAGCTGCAGGGTTTGGCTCCATGGCCCTAGAGAGCTAGTATTCAGCATGTTTTAGAGGTTTATCTGCTTCAACACACCTGGTTTTAATCAGCAACAAATAGCTGGGCTGCTTAACAGCTAATCTAACCTGTCAAAGCAGGAAAACCACTGAAACGTGCTGGATAGCAGCTCTCCAGGAGCCCCGGGCTTAAGTTACAGTCTGCTGCAGAAAGTTATGAAAATACCCCATGAGAAAATTATTCTGTAATGTGTTCATTTATGTTACACAATCCCAAACAGCCCACTAAAACTGCCCTGATTTCATTATTTACTGATACCAGCTGTTCTCTTGGTTGTAGGTGCTCCTCTGGTGTCTGCAGGTGGTCTCCTCTGCTGGTGTCGTCAGGATCAGGAGCTTCCAGAAGAATGTGCCTTTCAATTACTCTTTCCCCCTTATTTGTTATATAAATTGAGATTTTTTTAATTAATATATTTCCTGTTTTTGTTCATGTCCATAAATACTTAAACATGCTTGAAATTAAAACGAGCTTTTAACAGTGAGGTGCTAGTTTAATTCATCACAATAGAGCTAGTTAAACATGCAACAATGTGATAATTCAATTAATGTAATTTATAAATATCCATTAAAATATCAAAACTGGAATCAAAATGAGACATTTGGCAGCACAAAAAACTTGTCAAACACAACATTTATTATAATAATTGTAGGCAGACAGGAGACAGAGCTGATGGAGGTTCTCAGTCATCGAAGGATGGCTGAAGGCTTTCCAGGAACAGGAGATGTGGTGTTGTCTCTTCTCTCTCTATTCTGCCAGATGAGCTGATAGGTTACAGGTGTGTGAGGACATCCTCATGCTGTCATAACCAGATGACAGGAGTTATCAGGTGATCAGCCAGGCTAATGATGAGATGCAGAAAGAAAACAAATCCAGGACAGTGTACAATAATATGTGGTGTTGCTCACCTTATGTGCTCTTATAGAGTATTAATGTGTGCCTGCCTCATGGTGTAGAGTCCATATTTTGCTGAGTGTCCTGCAATAATGCAGGTTATTAGTTAATTTACTTTTGATAGCAAAGAACAAAATACTTAATGTAAAAGTTATTTACCAGGTGAATCAGCTCACACGTCACCACCAAGTGTCCCAGGGGCAGAATCGGTAGCCTCCTTCATGATGTCATGA